TCTACAGAGAGGCTGCCACTCCTGTGCTAACCACAGCCCAATTTGCCCTCCGGGAGTGGGAGTGCTCCATCTCTTGTGAAAGACGCCTCCCCTTCGCTCACACCCACAGCCAGCCCATCAGCCTAGTGGATTCTGAACTGCTTCCCCTCCTGCGGGGCTGTCACCCTGATCCAAGCCACGTGATGGCTTGGGGGCCGCTAACAGGCTCCAGCCGCAGGTCCGGCCGCCACACACAGGGCCGATGCAACGTCCCTGCTGGATTGCTCTAACAGCCTCCTGGTTCAGGGGTCAGCATGGCAGTGGAAGAAAGGGAAGAGTGTCACTGTCACTACTGTGACCCCCACGCACCCCCACCTTGGCATCACCACATCCTTGTAATGACTGATGGGAGAGCTGACCTCCTGTGACCTCTTGGATCTCCTTTCACTCTGCCCCAGCTTCAGGGTCTTCCTCAGTGTTTCTGGAACATTCCAGGCACAAACACATTTCTGCCCCTGACTTTGGCACCGGCTGGCCCCTTGACCTTCGGCGCTTCCCCTGCAGATGTGCACAAGGCTCGTCTCCCATTTCTTTCAGGCTTTGCTAACATTACCTGCTCTCGGGCCTTCCCTGATAACCTTATCTGAAATGCAAACTACTCCCCACTCCTCTCTGACCCCCACACACTAAGGCATGCTCCGACCATTGCCCTTGAAAAGTTTCCAAGAGGAAGCTTCCCTGGGGTCAGAAGTAACCCTGTCCCTGGGCAGCCAGAGAGTGAAGGATGCCCCAGCAGGCCACACGCCAGAGCACTGGCTGATTCTTACCAGAGCAGCCCCTCCTTGGGCCCGAGAGGCTAACAAGGGGATGGTGCCCAGGACAGTGGCTGAAACCTGTTCCCACCACCATATGTTTCTGGGAACACAGATGAGGCCCACTATGGTATTCAGCCCTGATTTTAAAAAGTCTCTTTAAACAAGAGGCTTTGTTTGTCCGTGTGAAAGGACAAAACAATCAGGAGACAGAATTGGATGTTTTAGACTTGGCGCATCCATACCCAGAGTCAAAACTGTGAGAATGTTATCTTCCCACAAAGACTGTTTCCTTCCTGCGCCCGCTGTCCTCAAGCCACTGCACTGACTCTGGAATTCTGCAGCCTCAGGATTAAACTGTTGCAGCTCTCAGAGGAACAACCCAAGTCCATTGTGTTTACATCTCTTTTGGTCACACATAAGGAATGTGCCCTGATGCTCTCAGTGAATATTTGATTACTGGGAACACATTCCATCAGCAAAGCTAAATTTTTCTTAAGAAACATCTTTATCACTTGTATAATTGAAATGATAATATACAATCTCCCCCTTTTCCATCGGAAGATATTTAAAAATAAGCATTGGGGCACCTCGGTGGCTCGGTCAGTTAAGCTGCCAACTCTGGAATTAGGCTCAGGTCGTGATCTCAGTGTCCTGGGATCAAGCCCCGCACCAGGATCCATGCTCAGCAGGGAGTCTGCTTAGGATTCTCTCTCTCCGTCTTCCTCTGTCCTTATCCCAACATATATGCACGCTCTCTCTCTCAAATAAATCTTTAAAAATAAGCAGACCTCTTATTTAAAAAAATAATAAAAATAAGCATAACACCGGTATTATTCATTGTAGAAACCGGCAATGGTGTAAACTGTGGAAGGTTGTGTGCAGGAATACAATTCTGGCCAGTGGCCAAGGCGTCTTGAAAGTGATAGAAATTGCTTACTCTGAGCCAGCCATTCTACTCGTAGAAATTTATCCCTGGAAAAAATGGACACATACAGGGATCGATGAGATAGAGTCACCGTGACATTTTTAGGATAGTGAAAACTCAGAAGAATGCTAACATACACTACGCAGCAAGAGCGTTGGACGCACCTAACTGCCAAGGGTCCACCCTCCCCTCTTAACTTCATGAAGTAGCCCAAATTGTAGGCATGGTGGCCACGTGCGTTGTTACAAAGCATCTCGCAGACCCCTATGGGGTTTTTTGTTGGTTTGTTTGTTTTGACGCTTATTACCAGATTTATTAGAGAAATCTCTATTCAAGGTAAAATGCAGGGAGGGGCGGTGGGTGTGGGGAGCCGTGACCGGGGCTGCCTACGCTCCCAGGACCCGCAGTGGCTGCAGTTAGAGCGGTGCCCACGGCTCTGGGTTTGACCAAGACAGCGCTCTGTGCCCAATGAGGCTGCATTCCAGATTGTCACACGCCAGACCACCAGGGTTGAGCACATGGAACCCACAGGGAGAATTAAGACACAAGTGGTTTGCAGTTTCATTGTTTTGAAATCAGTTTGACCCTAAAAATGAGACTGGGGTGGGACCAGCGATGCAACTGAGCCACCAGAGAAAAGGTGGGGGAGGGGCTGGCCCCAAGTGCGGGCCAGCAGAACTGATTTATGGACATTCTGGAGAGGTCCCTGCAGGGGGATGACTCAGGTCGGGTGGCAGCTCTCTCCCTTCCGTGGAAAAGTTGGAAGTGGCCGTGGAGCTCAGTGGTGGGAGCTGCTTGCCAACAGGGGCAGAACAAAGGTATAAGCAGTTTGGGTCCCTGATACCCCAGAGGAAAAAACAAACTGGTCCTGAACTATCTGTCCAGACTCCTCATACGAGAAAGAGTAAACCCTTGTGGCTTTAAGTCACTGAGCCCAATTCTAGCAAAGGCAAAGAGACAGTTAGAGGGACTTATGGAAGTATTAATGTGACTACTACACAGGTATTAAAAAGTCATAATGATCACCCACGTTCATTGACATGGAAAGAAATTCACAGCATATTGATAACTGAAGAAAGGAGATTATAAGTTAGGAAGAATCATATGATCAATTAAAAAAGCCTACAAAATTATATGCTTATTCATGGATATATATATTTGCTGGGGGACAGGTCTGAAAGGCTAACCAATAACACAGAGTAGTTATCTTTATCTTTGAATGATGCTATTTGGGGGGAATTTAACTTCATAAAAAATTTTTTGTTGCGATTTCTATGTGTTTCTTTGATGATTTCATATTGCACATAAAATTTAAAAATAAAAAAGGCTACTGAAACTTAATTCGCACATGAATGATGGGAAGGAATAAAATGTCTATCAGATTCATGACAGAGGAAGCACTATTTCATCTATGAAAAACACTCTTACAAATAAATAAAATATGGAGAGAAGCATGTAAGTAACATAAATAAGAAATTTCCCAAAAGGGAAGCAGAAGTGGTCAGTAAACAGAGGATAAAAATGTTGTAACATCATTAGTAATCCAAATATACAAATTAAAACAGAAAGCCATTTCAACCATTCACATTATAAAGTTTAAGAACAAAAAGATCCTTTCGAGGATGCAGGGACACACAGAGCCTCACCCTGCTGGTGAGTGTGCAAAGTGCTGCAGTATTTTCCAAAGGACCCTGGGCCAGTACAGACCAAAAGCCTTAAATGTGGTCATGCTACTTTACTTCTAAGGATTTCCCTAAAGAAAACAATCACACAGACACACATTGCATACACATCCAAGGATGTTCATCCAGTGGAGTTTATAGTAGTGATACACTGAAAACAATCTCAAGGAGAAAGAGGGAGCCTTGCACAATGGAAAACATTAGATATAATTTTGAAGAAGGTAAGTGTTGTGGGAAATGTTCATAATGTCATATATGAACATGGATATAAACTAAGTTAAATGCATGCTGTTTGTTTTCATGTAATGCAACATGAGGCTTCAAATATGGCCTAAAATAAAAGGTCACGTAGGCAGATATTCTGAATAACAGGCTTAGGTTTTTGAATAAAATGCTTTCACATGGACAATGTATGTGGCAGGCTATAGGGGAGGAGCCTCAGGGAATTCTTAAAAATTTAACTGATTCCCTCCTGCAATGAAGTGGTTTCTAGCACACTCTTCCCTCCTTCTTCTCTTTCCCCCCTGGATGGAGGTGGTAAGTAACCCATTTGTTCTGCTTTTGTTGCACTGATATTTCCATAATAAGAAAATGCAACATGTTACTTTAAAAAGCAACATCTGGAATACAAACCATAATAAAGCAAACAAATAAATAATATACTCAGAACAATTAAACACATATAGTAGGTCTTAGATTGTTAGGAAAAGAGATCATGATTTATTTGTTTATCCCACCCGTGTGCATTTGGCCTTCAACCGTTTGATAAATTACTGAGTGAAGATGAGTGAATGAGAAAAGAAAGAGAACTCCAATATGTTGGTGAGCACAGTTAAGCACCCTTCCCTGGAGAAGACTGTAAGATGGATATAAATGATCTCTATGGTGTCTAGAATGATCCCCATTAGTCTGCATGTTACATGTTTCTATTCCTGTAATGTTTACAGCCTTACCTTAAAACTGGCAAAGATGCTTTGTCTTTGAAGAGAAAGCATGATTAGACACACATATTCAAACAAAGAACACTGGATGCTCAACATAGGACATGGATGTGTGTGTTTTTAAAAGAGCATACCAAAAAAAAAAAAAAAAGAGAGAGCACACCAGGCAAATGATATGGAATTTGTATATTCTAAGATAACTAGTTAAATAAATAAATCAATTTTATTTTTAACCTTCTATACCCACTTAATGTCATATGTATAAATCCTGGGGAAATTCTTTTCAAACAATGGACAATTCTGACAATTCGTTCTTGTGCCTGCACATGGAGGGGTGTGCAGTGTTCCCCAAGCAGATCATGGTTACACCACACAGGTAGGCAATGCAGAGCTTTCCCTAAGGCTGAAAGAACTTCCACTGAATCCCCTGCCCCACTCATGATCTTTCCCAGGGCATGCTCTACAAGACCAGACACTCCTGGTTCAAATTAAAAACACTCAGGTGGACCAGAAGGGGTAAATGTGAGAAGACAGACTTGGTGGGGGTGGGAACATATCTACTTGCCAGAAGCATGTCTGGAAGGATGCAAAATGCTCCTCTAATTCTTTAGATTCTACCATGTTTGGCAGGCAACAAGCAAATCCAGTAACATCATACCTTTAGAGAATTTCCACACTATGGTCGGTACAGGATAGCCCTCAGCTGAGCAATTGAGGATGACAGCCTTGCCATAAATCCCGTCCTGGTCCCGTGGCTGAACCACAAATTTGGGAGGAACTGAAAAGAGAGAAATGTCACCCTTAATTCAGACAAGAAACACAACTTATTTTAATACCTTTAGGTATGATTTGAAGTTCAAAAATTTTAATGAACATTAAAATACAAACAACATGTTAACATATATGGAAAATTGAAAAACAGTATTTGTGAGCTGGAACAAATTAGGAAAGTGACCTCAGTGTCGGAAATCAGTGATATTCTGCACACTGAAGTTACTTTGCCCTGGGGAAAACTGGGATCATGTGTGGGAGTTTGACTAAACCAAGGGAATATGACATTCTGTATTTTTTTTATTTGGGTTATAGAAGATCTGCAGCAATCCACTCCATGGCAAATAGAATCAGAACCACAATTGAAAGAACAAAGAGCAATTATCAAGAGTAAGTATTCCTCTTGGGTGTGCACTGCTCAAAGCATTTGGTATCTATTCTTCTTCTAACAGGAGATGAAGGGAAAATTAATAGGCATCCCCTAAAGGCAATAAAGAACATAGCATGGTATTGAACTTTTCCCAAAAATCTGATGAAGACACATAGACCATTATTCCTGATGTCAGCACTCTTCTGGGCCAATGGGGGACAATGGAGGCTAACTGAAGTGAGGTACCATGATGGCTTTCTCATAAGTGGATAAAAGAGGCAGATTAAATAACTGAGTATTTGGTGAGTTTTGTGAGGTGCAGAAAAAATGCATCCCTACCCAAAACATACACAAGCACTCTGTTTAGACATACCTCCCAAGAGAAAGCAAATGCCTTGACAAGGTTAAGTTAATGTGATTCTAAGAGTTTTCGAGCCTTCTCTTAACTAAGAGTTTTCAAGTCTTCCCTTAAAGAGAGGATACAGATACTTCTAGGAAAGGCAGCATCTGAAGGTGTTAGAATCTCAGAAACTTTTCCAGGAGACCTGGATTTCGTCTGGTCCCAGGAATTCAGCTGAATAGGGATCAAACCATCCTGAACACCTA